CCTGTGTCCATGGGGTTTCTCAGCCAAGAATACTAGAGTGCGTTGCCATTTCCTTCTCCAGGGGATGTAACCAACTCAGGGACTGAACAGGCATCTCTTGCATTGGCAGGCGAATTCTTTACTTCTAAGCCACCAGGGAATCCCTTGAAAATTATATTATGTATGTGCATGTGTATGTGTATGTTTATGTGTGTGCGTCCTGGGTGTTCATTGGAAGCACTGATGCTGAAGCTGAAACTCCAATACTTTGGCCACCTTATGCGAAGAGTTGACTCATTGGAAAAGACCCTGATGCTGGGAGGGATTGTGGGTAGGAGGAGAAGGGGACAACAGAGGATGAGATGGCTGGATGGTATCACCGACTCGATGGACATGGGTTTGGGTAGACTCCGAGAGTTGGTGATGGACAGGGAGGCCTGGCGTGCTGTGATTCATGGGGTCGCAAAGAGTTGGACACGACTGAGCGACTGAACTGAACTGAATTGAATTTATGTGCGCTCAGTTGCTCAGTTGTGTCTGAGTCTTTGCGGCCCCATGGACTGTTGCCGGGAGAAGGAAATGGCAACCCACTCTAGTATTCTTGCCAGGAGAATCCCATGGATGGAGGAGCCTGGTAGGCTATAGTCCATGGGGTTCCAAAGAGTTGGACACAACTGAGCGACTTACACTTTCATGGACTGGAAAAGGAAATGGCAACACTCCAGTGTTCTTGCCTGGAGAATCCCAGGGACAGGGGAGCCTGGTGGGCTGCCGTCTATGGCGTCGCACAGAGTTGGACACGATTGAAGTGACTTAGCAGCAGCAGCAGCAGTAGGACTGTTGCTGCCAGGCTCCTCTGTCCATGGGATTCTTCAGGTAAGAATACTGGAGTGGGTTGCCATGCCCTCCTCCAGGGGATCTTCCTGACCCAGGGATCCAACCAGCATCTCTTGCATCTCCTGCACTGGCAGGCAGATTCAGGTTTTGCTTTTGTTTTCTTATAGTGATTAAATCCCAATATATTCCAGTCCTTCAACCTCCCTTTTAGTTTTAGTTTGTTTTCTTATGTAACTTTTCTAAGAAAACAAAAACAAAAAAACCTGATGGTTTTCTGTCAACAGGTCTGGTTCATATACTATTATATAGAGCATTGTCTCTAGCTTCTTTAAAATGAACCACACTGATGATTAAACACTAGGAATAAACACTAGTGTTGAGAGCATGGTCATGGAGGTGTTTGTCTCAGCCTCCTTACCCATTAGAAAGAAGAAAAACGCTGGAGCTGTGTATGTAGCACAAAGAGGGAAGGCATAGGTGGCATCATGGAGTGCAGCCTGGACCTGGATTCGGATGCCCAGCTGTGAGTCTCTGCTCTGCTGCTTATGAGCTCAATGTTTGGAAGAGTTAGTTAATCACAGAAGCAACATTTTCCTCTTCTGTGAAGTAGGAATAATACCTTGGAGAATTGTTCTGAAGAGTCAGTGAAATAATGACTGTAAAAGTGCAATCAAGCACATATTTTTTAAAAACATTTATTCACCTGGATGCGTTAGGTCTTTGTTGTACCATGTGGGATCTTTGTTGCCTTCAGACTCTAGTCGTGGCACCTGGGCTCAGTATCACAGCTCAGGTGCTGAGCTGCTCTGCAGCATGTGGAATCTTAGTTCCCTGACCAGGGATTGAACCCACATCTCCTGCAATGCAAGGTGTATTCTTAACCACTGGACCACCAGGGAAGTCCCTATGTGCTTCTTATTAACAAAATGCTGATGGACTGCAATCTTCATCTCAGATAAGCAGGTAACAATTCGATATCTGGAGCACAGCTGCAAAGAAGTCCATGGGGTGGATATAGAATAGGCAGGCGTGAATTTCCATTTAAGACAAACTGTCTAAGTAGAGAAAGCCTCTAGGGGACTAAATGCAATTCTGATAAAAAAATATCTGCTCTTATGCAGTAAGTGAGACATACCAAGATCATATGAACTATTCTACTTCATATACACACTGGGATCAAAGATTCCCAGTCTTTCATTCTCTTAATGCCTATTTATTCAGCATTTACTATATGCCAAACATCATGCTAGGTATACACTTTTTTCCATTAAATAAGATTTCTGCTCCCAAGGAACTTGTATCCTAGTTATATTAATATCTTTATTTCAAGCACTTGGCAAAGTATTAGCACATAGTAGATGCTCACCAAAAGTTGACCAAGCTGAATCTCATTTTGTAGTATCACCATAACAGAAAACTAGGAAAGAGGTGACTCGTGTGATCAGAGATGTCTACCCAATTCACCATGTGACTAACAGGGTACTACTTTTGAAGTTATGAGGGAAAAGAAACTTTCTAACTAGAAGTCATCTAGTCATCCACCTAAAATACTTGCATTATATAGTATTAATTTAGTCTCTTCCTGGTTAAAACATAATTACTACTTTAACAAGAGGGTAGAGTGTTAATAGGAAATGTTTTAGAGGGTGGTGACCCTCATGTCAGGTCAAAATATAGCAAAAAGAATGTAGGCTGGATATGTCAAATCACTATTGATAGACTGACTATGGACTTGACATTGATTTAATGTACAATACAATTTAAAAAGGGGGAACAAAGATGGAAAGTGCGTTCTGTTTATGTGATAGTCAACTTTTAAAAAGTACAGTGAAGTTTTTTTTTGTTTTGTTTTTTTGAAAACATACCTTTCTTGAAGGCATTCAAGAGAGCCAGTGTTATGAAATAAAACTTAAGAGCTTTTTCATAATATCTAGAAACTAACTGGTGGGCTCAGGGCGACTGACATTAGTATTGTTCACCAATATCACCACCTGTCCTGAACTCGGTTCAGCCTCAGTTTAAGGACTCAGTCCCTGTGAAGATGGAGGCTATGTAACTAGTTTTGGCCATGATGTTTGATCAGGGATCTGTTTGCTTCCCCACCTAAGGATGTGAAAAGTTCATAGGAATTCTTCAAACACTTTCTTCCTCTGCCACAGAGACTCAGTTGCAGTGTTCTGGGTGAGCCCTCTGCCAATCTGGTTCCTAGAGTGACTAGAGTAGAATAGGCTCGATTCACAAGAAGCATGAACAGGCAATAAACTTTTGGTGCGCTAGGCATGAAGATTTGGGAGATGAGCTGTCTGCTACTGTACCGTAACATAGCCTTTCCTGATGAATGTAGTCAGGGGACATCCATAACACTCTCAGTCCAAGTTTTTGAGAAAGAGATAAAATAGATAATACCAGCTCCATTAATCTGTCAGCAGTGTCTTTCAAATTAAAGATGCTAGCCTGAGGTCTAGCTTATTAATCACATTTAATCCAGATATCCCATAACTTTTCCATTTTTCTACTAATTCTCTTGTCAATCTTTTAAAAGTACTATTTTAGCTTTTATCCATAAAATTCCTGTTTATTTTTACAAATAGTTTTTTTCTCAATATCATAACCTCACCACATATTATTTTCATATGCATTTTCACTAGAGTAAAATGGTCTGAATTATGAACAGCATTAATGCGATGACACACGCAGTTGTGAGCAAAGAAGGGAGACACTTCTGCAACTGCATTCTCTGTAAAAAGTGAACCCTTACAGGAAGGGAGAAGCAGGAGCATTCCTGATTTTCTTTTCTTTTTGTTCCACATTGGAAAAACAGCTTAACCTTGAAGGGCTTGTAGCGTCTGAGAACTGTCATTTCTTATTTAAAGCCTTAGATAGTAAGGGAAAGTTTTAAGTCCCTGGTTTTGCTCTTGTTGATCTTAATGGATTGTTAGGTAGGGCAAATGATGTGTTGTCTTAAATATTTTAACGCCTGTCTTCTTTCCACCTATCCAAAGCTATCCCTCACAGTCCTACTCAACTCTGAGCTCCTCAGGAAATCTCCGCTAACACACCAGCTAGAATCGAGCCTTTTCTCTCCCAAAATCTTACGTAACTTCATATCATTTATTTGGCATTGCTTGTAGAGTTTAGAGAGTTCAAAAGATAGAAAAGACCTAAGAATCATTCAACACAATCCTCTCATTCTGCAAATGAGGAAAGTAAAGTCCAGGACAATTATGTACTTTAGTGAAGTCACACAGTTAGAGGCACATTGGAGGCTATAAACCTAGTTTGCCCAATTCTCAGTGCGTTCCCTTCCTTTGTGTCCCACATGCCTTCCGTTTACTACCTGAAATTGTTGGTTATTTTTCAAGAGAACAGATCATCTCACCAATAGTACATCTTGTGATCAGGAACTCTTTCAGTTACTTCAGCTTGTAGCTTATTGTATTCACATTTTATATACTTGGTGGTAGACTGATTGTGTTTTAGGTAACGACTACATCTATTACCATTACTATAAGCTACCACTTATTCTAAAACTCAGAAGCTAATACTGGGAGGGGCTGAGGAAGGATTGCAACAGCCGCAAGGTAAGTAAGTAAACCGATGAGAACCAGGAGGACGCTTACAGACGTCCAAGAATATACGCTTAGCACTGAAGGTCGTTTTCCCTGGAACTGGGTCTTGCTGGTTCACTCTGCAAGGACGGAAAGTGTGTGTGAGCGTTGCCGTGGGGTGGGGGAAGGCAGAGTGCCGAAGTTCAGGTGAACTTCTAGAGATGAAAGCCTGACGAGGAAGTCTACCGGGTGGGATGGGTGGCAGTCGCGGGCGAGAGCAGGAGTCCGAGCGCGAACCCCAGCAGCGGGCCAGGGAGGCGCAGTGAGGGGCGCACGCAGGGGCAGGAGAGCTCAGCAGAGAGAACGCCAAGAACGAGGTGGCGCCGCCGTCATCCGGGCGTTGCCCGGGGGCCGCGTCGCCCCGCGGAGGGCGCCGGGGGGCGGAGCCGGGCGGCCCGGGGCGGGGCGGCGGCTCTGGCCCTCTCGGCAGCACGCGGCGGCGCCCCCTCCCCTCGCGCCGCGGGCCTCCCCGCGCCGCGCACGTCCCCGTCCCGCGCCTCCGCCCCCTCGCCCGCCCGCCCGCTCCTTCCCGCCCTCCCCTCCGCGCCGGCCAAGCCGGCTTCCCCTCGGTCTCTCATGAATATTGAGCGGCCCCTGTTGTATTTCCCGAGCTCCATTGCGGAAGCCGAGGCTCGCCATATTGTGCAGCGGCGCCGGCGGCTTGTGCCCGAGTCTCGCTCCGGACGCGGCCCGCGGAGCCCCGGGTTGGGGCAGGAGCCGGTGAGGCGAGGGACGCGCGGGGAGGCGAGGGGGCGCGGGCGCGGCGGGCTCGGCCGTGCGACAGCTCGGCGGGGCTGCGGGCCGCGGACGGCCGCGCCGGGGCCGGAGCTGAGGGGGGGCGGGTGTGTGTATCCGCGGGGGTGTGAGCGGAGATGGCGCCGCCGCCCCCGGCCGCTCTCGGGGCGGGGATGGCGGGGGAAGGCGGCTTCTCATTGTTCCCGTTTCTTCGAGGGTCTTGGCGGGGGTGGGAGTCCGGCTTGAGGAGGACCCCCCCCCCCCGTGGGCAAAGCTCGGGGATTCCTTCCTTCGTGCGAGCCGCTCGCGCTGCGCTGAGGCCGGGGCTGCGCTGCGGCGCCCCGTCGCCTCCCCGGGCCGGGGGGGGCCCCTAGCCTCTCCGCGGCCCCTCCGGAGACGAACCGCGTGGAATGCAGGATTTTACCCCCTTGGTCTTTCCCCCTCGCGGCCCGGGGGTGTGTGTGGTGTGTGTGTCCGCACTGTGAGGGTGGGGTAGGGGCGCTTTGTGCGCCTAGCCCGCTCTCCCCCCCGGGGTGCTGGAGTCGGGGTTGGCTTGTCGAGGCGCTCCTTGGCGTCGGGGTTCCCTGTAGGCGGCGGGGAGACCCCTCCTGGTGAAAGCATTCCTGGAGTGCCGCCTGCCTGCTGGGAGTATCTGTTGCTGCGCTCTCAAACCCGCGAGGGTGCCCCGGAGGAGTCGTGGGGGGAGGGGGCGTCTGGGTTTGTTCCTGAGGGAAGCTTCGCATTTTTGAACCCCGTCGTGTACGCCGAGGGCTTTGGCCCCGAGTATCCCCGGGGAGCCCTCGTCCGGGTTGTCAGGATCGTTTCCCTCCTAGGGAAGTCGTCTCCCTGCGCTCAGAGCTACTATTAGTGAAAAAAAATTGATCTAAAACTTTGAGGTTCCTTCCGATTATTTTGGGGGGACCCGAAGACCAGTTGCAGGCTTATCTCCTTGAAAGCTTTTTTTGGGTTCCTACTGCCTGACTCTCTGAAGTTTTAGAGAAAGTATGCCTTTAACGTGGTTAAATGGTTTGGGAATGTCAGGTTCCTCGGAGGTGTGTAAAGATTGGTTTGCTGTGAACAGGGTGGGTTTGCATTCGGCCTTCTCGTAATATGCTTTATTTCTTTTAAAAATTAAAAAAAAATTGAGACATGATTTCAGTGTTTTAGACTGAGAATTATGTTGAAAACTAATTATGTGTGATTTGCATTGCATAATCTACTTTTGGTAGTTCCACGATGATCAGCTAGAATACTTGGTGTAATTGGCAGACTCTACTTTGCTCACTTGCAAAAGAGTGTAGTTTTTGAATATTTTAATAACTCAGGTTGGTAGAACTTGCGTTTTTAAAGTCGCTATTTCATCCTTTGATTTATCAAGAATTTAAATGGCAGCAATATGACTCTTAGTTAGTCCCTTTTCCCCCTAAAATTTCTACTTGTCACCATCAACAGGTATTTTTAAAAAATCTTGTTTGTACGTTTAACGTAATTTTAAATAAAACAATGGGCATGTAAGACTTCATTTTCCAAGGCTAGCACAGCAAATATGGCCTCTTACTTTTTCTAAGGATTGGTGATATTTCTTTCAGGTACCTTTGTGGAATACACATTTGAGGTTAATTATAGTAGGTGTGAGAGTGAAATGGAGAATTTATGAAGGACAACTGCCAGAGTAGGCTAGTGGGCTTGAGTATTAGAAAAATATGCTGATGGTTCTCAAATGTGCTGCATAGAAAAATTTTAAATTAGAGCCATTAACATAATGTAGACAATGCAGACATTCAACAGACTGAGAATTTTGAGTTTTTCCTCTGCCTGTGTGGAACTCTAAAGACTGCTAGCTCCCAGCTTTGTGAGCAGAGAAATACGGAGCAGATCAGCAAACGTCTTTGGAATTTCATTTGTCTATCACTGACCTTCAGTATGTGGTGTCAGGTCTGTCTCTTTAATTTGATTTATTCGTGGTTTGTGTTTATATTATGCAGTCTTTGGAGTAAAGGTGATATATGTCTAATGAATAATATATAACCAGATGTTTCAGTGACAGGTTCATTTCTATACATTAGCACAGAAGCATAATTCCTTCCAGCGAGAGAAGTAAGCTAACATTAAAAAGCACTTTATTAAAATCATGGCTGCATTTCTGGTATGACTTAAAGCATTCAGAATTTTGTATCCACTCGCTTGTTAAATCTGGGGAAACTAGACAGTGCATCACAGTTTACAGTTTTTAAAAAAGGGAAAACACTGTGAGATTATATAGACTGCCAGTGGACAGATCTACACTCGATTTTTAATTAGTGTTATTTGTTAGACATGTTGTGGAAGACAGACATTGTTGTCAGTCACTAGTTATTTAATTTCCTGGTTTTTTTCCATCTCTGAAAGCTTACATCAATAAGTTGTTATAGTAACGTACTGAATGATTATTTACTTTGAAATGAGTAGAGCCTGATATAATTTGAGTACAGAGGTACACTAAAATTTACCCTGTCTGTTCTCTGTAGGTTGAGATATCCTGTCTGTTCCCCTGTCAGATTTTTCATTTTTTCTACCTAATGGTTCAAACAGGTCCTCTGGTGTCCCTTGTTAGGCATAGAGCTTGGTTGATTTTACATAGACACACTGACTGTGGTAACAAAACTTTTGGCAGTTTCGTAGCAACTAGTGTTAACGTCCATAGGCAGGAGCTAGGTGATGAGTCCCCGATTTTATAGGTCCTAAGGAGGCAGGTGGCACACTCTCCATTTTTATGCTGTGTGGAGGAATTCCAGTGGAGATATCAAGTTTAAAATTTTTTTCACTTCTCTTTTGTCTTACGGTTATTAGGCAGCCGAAGTGGACTAATATATCTGGGCCTAGTGATACTTTTTTTGGATGCTCAGGAGCTATGTAAATACATTACCAAGAATTCTGAGAAAGATTCTTATGCTTGAATTTGCCTTTTCTCTACTATCTGCCATTTTGTCGTAATTTTAAAAATTCAGTTTATTAAGTACAATAATGAAAAGTTATCTTTGAAATTAACCTCAGATTAAATTGGTCAGTGAGGACATCTTACTAAATGAAGTAACAAACCATATAAAACTATCAAAGCATTTTGGTCATTTGTTTTCAACAGTTGTATTGATTTGGGGCTCTCCTGCAGGAGGTATTTCTTTCTGTGTCTCTGCTGTAAGCGTGGAGTTGTATTTTATGAAGAAGTTTGCTTCTAAAGTCAATGTGTAAAATGAAAATCACATATAATAAAAAATTATGCTTGAAATCTCTCAGGATGGGAAGAACATACCAGTAAGTTCAGTTCAGCTTTAGTGTTGGAACAGATTGCTGTTTCTTTTGTTGAACACTAGATGAAGTAGTCAGCCTGCATTATGGGCCATGTTGAACACAGCAAAAAAAAACCCAACAACTTAAGTTTAAGAACCATATTCAGCATGTTGTCATGCTCATGGCTAGGAGGGGCTTGTAGGAGCTGAGACCACCGAGGAGTCGCAGATCAGCTGTCCTCTCATTTTTTTCTAGGATGCTTGTGCTCTACTGAGAGAACAGTAGTTTAAATGGCAAAAGTTAAGTGATACTTGTGTTGCAACGTAACACACAAATTTAAAGGGTTTGGCATTATTCTTGCTAAAATATATTTTATGTGTATGAATAATTTCAAAGTTCCTTTACTTTCCCCTTTAATAAAGCAGCAAGATATCTCAGAGGAGAGCAGTTAGAAGAACAGGGTATTAGTGTCCAATAGATAAAATAGAAAGTTCAATAGGAGTTTGAACAGAAGGCATTTAATACAGGGAGATGGTTAGATGAATATAAAAGCAGAAAGAGAACATTATAATAGTCAGAGAGCTCAGAGAAGAGGTTCTATTGGCCTAGTTCTGATCTTTTGAGGTCAGCCTTGTTGAGCTGCTGATTAGGCTAGTTCTGGGGAATACCGAAAGAAGCTGGAGGCTGGAACCAGCTGTTGCTGCCAGTGACTAGGAGGAGGTCCCCTCAGCCCTTTTACTGCTTTCTTACCTCCATTGGCAAAGCCTAACACGGGCCTCCCTGGCAGAAGAGTTGGTGAAAGCCAGTTGCACAGTCTCAGCCCCGCACCACAGAGCAGTGTAGAGTGGTGGTCTTGGAGTTGAGAGACAAGGAGTAAATGACCTGGACACGTAGTATAGATTAAAATAATTTAGATAGGGAATCCTGTCCTTACCTCGCCTGTTTAAAAAACATTTATTGATTATCTTCTGTGTGTCAGAGCCTATGCTAGGGATTAGGAATATAAAAGTGAATTGAATAAGGTTTCTGTCCTTGAGGAATTCACAATCTAAGCGGGCATGACAAACTACTGTACAGAGTGTTAAATGCAATAATACATAAATGATGTGCTTTGGGAATCCAAAGGACAAGCAACCTACTTTCCTCTTTTCCCAGCTAAACCTAATGACCACTGTTTTTGTTTGGTGTCTTGATCAAACCCAAGTTCATTCTGTTTGATGTCCTATGAAAGCAAATTCTCTGAGACGCCTTAATTTTATCATGCAGTTATTGTCTTTAGTTAAGTATTTCTCTTTGCTTTATTTTTTAGATTATAAAGACCATCATTTCTCTGCACTTACAGCCTAGCTTAGTACTTCACACCTAGAAGATGTTTGAGAAATAGTTATTTTTGCAGTGGATAATGGGGATTAGAGTATTGCTCATCACCTTTGTAGACATTGTTTCCTCCTTCCAAGGTCGTGAGCAAATAGTGTGGCTATAGTGTTATGATTTTATAGATGTGAGAATTGAAAGCTTAAAATAATTGGTTCATATAAGCTGTGTACTACCAGTAACTGTACTAGAAATAGGACTTTGGATTTTTGATGTGTTATATTCCAGAACCAGCCATTTTGGTAGGGATTTCATTTGATGGCTACTAAATAAAATCCTCTTCTACTTCTCTTACTATTTTATAGCCTAATATATGTTCTAAAATTTCCATTATTTCGGGATGGAGGAAGAAAAGACAAGCCCCTCATCTTATTTCCTAAAAATAAAAGCATCGTGCAGTTTCTTTTTACATTATTCTTTTTAGTTGTCCACTGTTTTCTTTTTTCTGCTCCCCGTGTTGATTATGCTGCCTCCGTTAGCTGTTGTAAAACGTGCAGATCTGCATACTTCATTTTGACTTGTTTTTAGAAGTATTCTACTTGTTTCCCCCACCATACGCAGACTATGTTGATTTAACTTAAAACCAACTGATTTTTCACTTATAAAAAGATGTATGCCTCTATGCCAGTAATTGCATTAAACCCTCACTATTTATACTATTTACTATATAGAGTCTAATTCAGCCTGGGACCGCTGTCTTGGAAGCCAGCCAAATGTTTTATGGAAGGCTTTCCTGTATTACAGAGGGGTAGTGTTGTGCATGGAAGAAGGCGCTTCAGAATTGAAAGCAGGAGACTTGGTTTCTAGGCCTGGTTCCACTACTAGCAAGCTTCTTGGCCTGTCTATTTTCTTTTCTATAAAAATAATAATAAAAAAGCTGCAACCCCATTACACTTGGAGGTTATTTGTAAAGATATAAGAGGTAATGTAGGTAAAAAGGGGTAAACCGCAAAGAGCGTCGTAAATATAAGAGGATATATGTAAAGAAAGAGAGATTGATCTGTGGCATGGATCTTGAAAGAGAGAGAGAGAGTGATCTGTGACATGGATCTTGGAAATAGTTGTGTGTCTACTTTCAAGTTTTTGAGTCTCCATATTTATTTTAATTTTTTTTTATTTTTTGAGTCTCCATATTTAAAAGAACATTGTTAGAGTGAAAATATGGGGTATAGGAGGAGTTGTGGGTGTCCTGTAACATTACTTTCCCCAAGTCTGGTCAATTGTGTG